ATTATAATGGATATAGTGTCATGGAAACATATCACTAATCTCTTTTATCTTTCTGTGGACATAGCCTTTTTCAAAATCCACATTCTCATCTACCTGCTGGGGGATAGGTGTTGGAGTAGACAATAAAGAATTTTTGAATAGTAATTTTGAGTCTCTAGTGAGGCAACATGAGGAACAAACCAGGATTTATATGCTTATGCTCCTGGTAACACAGTAAACCTAGGTCTGGTGAACTTGAACGTGGAGATTGTTAGAAACCAGAGAGAATTCAGACTGGGACCTAAGGGAAGTTCATGTAAGGCAGGGAGAAAAAGCACCAGGAGGATATTACCTTCCAGTTAGGAGAGTGAGAGGGAGGGAGAAGTGGGGCACGCAGCAGGCCACGGTCCATGGTTACTACCCCTACCCTTGGGGGTGAAATTCAAAGGAAAGGCTGCCAGAGGTCAGCCAGGGGACCCGGGAGCCAGAGGCCTGCATGAGTGGTTCAAGTGTCCAGGGAAGCTCCATGCTCAGCTCAGGCCACAGCCAGCTCATGTCAGGGAGGGTCAGCATAATGTTTCCTTGGGGCTCAACTGGCTGTTGCCCTTTGGGCCCCTTTGGAGACCCATAGACTACACCCAAGTAGCCACCAATGCCTCACAAAAACAGTGAATAAAACCTGCCCTGCCACCTCACAGGACTCTGACTTCTTCCTCCCGTGTTAGAGGTTCAGGGACAGTAGAGCCAAAGAGTGGTACAAGGAACTGAACGCGCGGGTCTGGGAGCCCCCCTCTTCCTCCAGACTGCCCTTCTCTAGCCACCACGTTTTGTGTGTGTCATCTCAGATGACAGCAGCGGACGCAGGGAGCAGGTTAGACAGACTGACCCTATACCTGAAAGAGAATGAGTCATCTACATGGACCAGTGAAACCAAGACACAGACATCCTGTTAATCGGCAAGTTGCAGTTCACTGTACTCTGCCCCAGGATGGCGGGCAGAGGGACACAGACTGGCTGGCTGGTACACAGTAAACTACATTTCCTTTGCATCTATGTCCGTGGTTCTCAACCTTCCTTATGCCGCAACCCTTTAATACAGTTCCTCATGTCGTGGTGACCCCCCAACCATAAAATTATTTTCATTGCTAACTCTCAGGTGATTGATATAACCTTTGCTGTGCACTAATAGAGGTGAGGGGTCCTAAGAGTCCAGGCCAGGGGTCCTCAAACTTTTTAAACAGGGGGCCAGTTCATTGTCCCTCAGACCATTGGAGGGCCGGACTGTGGGCCCCGGGACGAGTCAGCTGCTAAGTAGGACAGGCATCAGTGGCAAAGACACCTGGCGAGCCGGATAAATGTCCTAGGTGGGCCACATGTGGCACATGGGCCATAGTTTGAGGACTCCTGGTCCAGGCTATAGTCCCAGGGCTGGTCTGTGAGGGAGAAAAATATTAGCTAGGCCAGGCCTGAGGGAAGAAAGCTTTTCTTGGTGGACCCAGGGGTCCATTTGGCCTAAGATTAAACTTTATATACATAGATGCATAACACCACTGATTGAGTAAAAAGAACATTAAAGCCCTTTTAAACTTGTGGTCCCATTAAACTTACAGTATATGATGAATTAAGGATTTTTAAAATAAATCCAGCAATATCTTGTGACTAGCACAATTAAATTGCATTACAAAAAGGGTTAAGATGCCAATTCTTTAAATGTAAACATTTATTTTTTCCCACCGTCCCCCTTACATTTAAAGTATATTATAATTAGTGTACTCTTATTTTAGTTTTTCTTTTTTAAAATACCAGAAATCTCAAAAACCTGAAAGCCAGCAAGGCCCCATCTGAGATGTTCTGATGCCAGTCCTTGGGCATAAACCCACGTAGTGCTGCTGGTAGTTCTGTCATCTCTCTGCGTTTTGTACCCTGTCCCCTCTCACATTCACCCCATCCCCATGCTCAGCAATATTTTTCAGGGCTAACTCTTTCCTCCAGACCCCACCCAGGCATCACATCCTCCCAGGAAGCTTCTTGTGTCCCTCTGTCTCATTTGGTGGCTATCCTCTGGGTTTTCATAGAGTCTGTCGTGTCCGGACGCAGTCGCTCATGCCTGTAACCCTAGAATTCTGGGAGGCTGAGGCAGGTAGATTGCTTGAGCTCAGGAGGTTGAGACCAACCTAAGTAAGAGTGACCCTGTCTCTAATAAAAAAAGGTACAAAAAATTAGCCTTGCATTGTGGCGGGTGCCTGTAGTCCCAGCTCCTCTGGAGGCAGAGGCAAGAGGATGGCTTAAGCCCAGAAGTTTGAGGTCGCTGTGAGCTATAACGCCACCACCACACCCTAGCTTAGGGAACAGGGTGAGACTGTCTCAGGAACACAGAAAAACTGTGACCGTGCCTGTCAGATTCTTTGCCCTCATCTATCTCCCCACTCTAGTGTAAATTCCTTGAGAGCCAGCGCCATCCATCTTGCCCTCTGTGCATTCCCAGGGTTTATCATAAGGCCTGGTGGGTGGAGACGTCCTGGCCCTTACAGCAAGGTTCTGGAAACGCCAGTTTCCTAGCTGTGCCTCTCCTCAGAGTGACAGGAGCCCTGTTTCACAGGGTGGGTTCCGTTCTAAGTCCATGCGTCCAAGTCTCACTCAGCAGACAGCGCACCCACGAGAGAGAGATGTTAATACTGTTCATTTGCACGTCAGGACTCTGATTTCTTCCTCCTGTGTTAGAGGTTCAGGGACAAAATAAAGCCAGGTAGAAGATTATCATGGGAGTGAGAACATGGAAATGCTTGCACTGTGGAAAGAGACGGTGAGAAGTGCTTTGTCTCAGGCTGCCCGTGGAGCATGGATTTGCCGGGTCTGATGCTGGCCCTCTGGATCACGAGGCTGTGCTGGTCACCCGGCCCTGCCAGACTCAGCCTTTGTTTTCATAACACCCGGTGGCTGTGTCTGAGTTTCCCCGTGCACTTCTGCATGCATGCCTTTTAAAAACAAAACTAAGCGCATGCATGCTTTTTGAAAACTAAACTTTTTCCCCATTCCCATTCAGGTGACCAGCCCTTTCGCAATCCAGTAAAAAAAAAAAAAAAGTGCTGAGAAACAATGTACCATAAGAACAAGACTGAGTCTTGTGAAAAGTGAGAAGTGAGGAGAATAATTTGCGACTGCCCGGAAGACATTAATTAGTAGTCTACTTCCGTAGATTCTGCAATAGCATTCTGAACTTCACCCAAACGACCATCACTGGCCTTAACGTCTGGAGGAGTTCTATGCAGAGTCCATAAATCTCAGCTGGCGTTAGCTGGCACTGTGAGGGATTGAGATCATTGGCTGATGAGACCTGCACTGGGAACAGACATGTTAACTAGATCAATTAATTCACTGGTGAAATTAATTACCTAACATTTATCTAATTAGCCAACACTTTCACCTGTCACAGGTAGAGGTAAATGCCAGATTGAAATTTGGTGGTCTTCTCCATTTTACCCTAAAAATAAATTGAGAGATATGGATTGGAATACCAAATAAAGGATGCAGGTCCCTGCGGTAGTACGTGGGCATATCCAGTCTCAAAATTGCCCATGGTCGCTGGGAAAGAGCAGCAGGTAGACCAGCCTGAGACAAATCATGATAGAAGAGACACCTGTGTTGTTATAAACCAACAACGGGAACAACAGCCCCAGTGTACAAGGGCAACACGTATATTCGGGATTATTTTGCCTTGGAGTTGTCATTAGCTTTTCCGAGATAAGTGTCCTCAGGGATTTGGGGCTATCTTAGGCAAAGTTATAAATGCATCGTTTGTGGTGGCAACAGCAAGATGTAGGCTCCCCTGACTTCTCAACACACAGTTCCCTATCCCTATTCCTTTTCCTTCCCATTCTGTAAACTTTGCTGGCTGGCCAAGGTGGACCATGGGAGGCCAGCACAAAACCCAAAGCGTTTGCCTAGAGTGACTATCACCAGGAAAAGGAGCATCTTCTAACTTGTAGACCCCATTTAAGGTATGAGTATTTGATTCTCAGCCACTATGTACATTTTTAAAGAGAAATCCAAGTACATTGTGAAATGCCTTGTATCTACTACAGTTTGGCATTTATAAATATTTTTTGTTCTAATTTGTTTAAAAGCCAGGAGACTAATGTTCTCGAAGCTTTCACCAGCATAGAACTTCATCTGGTTGCCATGGGAGCGGAAGGAAAAAAAAGCAGGGTGAAGTTCCTCTAAAAGCCTTCTAGATTTTTCCTCTCAGTCTGGCACAGTGGCTCAGGCCTGGCATAGTGGCACGGACCAAGCTACTTGGGAGGCTGAGGCAGGAGGATCCCTTGAGCCCAGGAGTTATGGGCTGCAGTGAGCTATGATAACCTTGTCTCCAAAAAACGTCCCTCCCAAAAGTGAAAAGTGAGAAGCATTAGCAGAAGTAGTAAATCCATGGATTTCTCAGCAGAGACTTTTTTCTGAAAATATCAGACTATATTTCATTATTCTACGTGGATTGACACCTCGTCCAATGGATTTTACAGGCAGCTGAGGGTTTTAGTAAAGGAATAGGCCCCGGTAGACAAATTTTGTTTAATTTTCAGTCCTTTCGTGTGAATTTGATGGGCAAAGTTCAGCTGAAGGGGCATTCTGAGGTCCTGACTTTGGGTGTTTTCCTAACTTGTGATCTCAAAGAATGAAAACAAGTTGGTGAGGGGCGGGATGGGGATGGGAAAATGAAATGTTTGAGAACTGAAAGTTCTCCTGTGCGCTGGACCTGGTGGTGGTGTTCTGGAAACCAAAAGAGGACCTGCATCCATATGCAGTTGTATCAAAGCAAATAAGTCTGTTTGCAACATCAGATCTGAGTTGGGATTAAGGTCAGGTGTAAGGGAAGGTGCTCTGGTCAACAGTTAACAAGCTAACCAACCTGGTTAAAGAGAGAGGATGCCACTCCTTCTACAGGAGCCTATCTTCTTAGGGAAGGGCTGCTCTGAGAGTTGGGCTGTAGTATAAAAGGCTGTGTCAGGGAGGGGAATTTCAAGTTGATAGGAGTTCAAAATCCGAAGGAGAAGTTCCATTAGCAATTTAGGAAGAAGACATAAATTTTAAGGGAGGTTTTCATTCTAACTTAGAGCTAAGCTATTATGATAATATCCATAATTTAATAGCAAATCACAATATTTCTATTCCCTGACATAAGCATACAAGCGACTGTCCACATAGTGCAAAGTATGGCCTCCGTCCTACCTGCTTCCAATAGCTGCATGAGAGCTGACAGGAAGGCATACGTTGGGTGAGTAATTCTGACTTTATTGTTTTGATCAGACAGATGTTCTTTGGATTTTATATTAAATAATCAGATGATGGGCCTCTACAGTTATGCAAACTTCTTTAACGTAGGTATTATCTAGTTGGAATATAGCTCATAATACAAAACAATATAAGAACAATGCAAATTTTCTTCCTAAGGATATTTTTATTCCTTGGTTTGGGAGCACAGGGAGTTGACTCATCCAACAAAGTATGGCAAAAGAAGTCACAAAAGATACATAAAAATTAGCAGGAGTTACAAATTTGTTTCAGGAGTAAACAAACTCAAAGTTCAGCCTAGGAGTCACTATGCTGTTCAATCTTTAATTCCAGAATCATGGGCTCTATCAGAGAAATAATTACAGAGGCTTCTCAGTGCCTGAGGGAAATTTAACTGTGTTGCAGCATATTATGGAGTGATTTCATGCACTTTGTGATGGACTTTATATAGAATTTACTTCTAAAATACCAGGATGTTATTCATCTCAGAGGTCAACATTAATCTGCCAAAGCTACCTGCAAATCTAGCTCCAATTTCTGCCCCAGGTTAACAGTACACAACAGAGCATTAATCTTCATGAGGCATAAGGAATTTTTGTGAGTTCCCTCTGATTTGTGGAGAGCTGTGTTTCATGTCTTTCTTTGAGTCTCCATCATATCAGCATTTCAGAAGCATTCCACTGACCCCTCTCAGACAGAGGAAGCCTCCTGGCATGTTCACTTCTCCAGGGAAACCAAGGGGACAGAGAAAAGAAAAAACTTATATGAAGATAATGGTAAATGGAAAGACTTCTCAGCCAGCATTTTTCTTTGGTTATCAATATTTAATATTGGCCATGCTAGATAATTGGTCATGATTTGCTAAAAGACTTGACTTTATTCCATGTGTTAGGAAAAGGAAAAGAAATGCAAAAACAAAAAACTTTGAGGAGAAAACAGTACATGCAAGTCTGTTTAGTAAAAACTGTATATTTTGGAAAGATCAAAGTACCGTAGAACCTCTGTAAGTTGACCACCCAAAGGACTGTAACAAGCTGGTCCACATAGGGAGGTGGAACTAGGCCTGCTGTACTGATAGGTATATGTGGTGCATATCCAGTCTATGAAAATTAGGCTAACTTAAGGAGGTGATCAAGGTAGGGAGGTGGTCAACTGTGGGGGTTCCCCTGTATTATAATAGCCATATTCATACTGGGTTGAAGTTGGTAACAAGCTTACTCTTTGGTCACTGGCAGAACGATCACTTTAGAAGTGCTTCTTGAGCTTAATGGGACAAAAATCTTTAGACATTCTCATCAATTTTCTAAGAAATCATTAGACGTGGGAACAGACCATCAAGGAAAATGAAAGAGTATCTCCTAATAAATTAATAGGAGTACTATAACTAAGACAAGAGTATATAATTAATGGTTATGCTAGTTTGAGAATTTCTTCTTAAAGATGGGAAAGTTGGAATAGATCCGTGATTTTAAAAACACCAAGGCCCAGGCCTCCCTGACAAACTCAATGAGAATTTCTAGGGATAGGGTCCATGTAACAGTACTTGTTAAGGTCCTCTGGTGATTCTGACATGTCGTGAGAGTTTAGAATCTCTGGGGTAGATGAATGAGACTCTTTCATGGAGTCATGATTCATAGATTGAGTTGGGAAGCTAAAGAAAAATCAGAGATCATGAATAGTAGTCTTGGCAGAGTGAAACAGAAAGGGCAATAGAATGGGTGGGGGGAGTGGATGGCCGTGTTCCTCAAACTTTAATGTGCATGTGAATCTCACAGTTAAAATGCAGACTTTGATTCGGTAGGATTAGAGTGGAACCTGAGATTTTGCATTTCTAATAAGTTCGCCAGTGTTGCCCACACTTGGTGTCTAACAAGCGACCATGGATAAGTGTCCTCTTGCCTCTCACAGGAGAAGAAAGGAGGTGTCTTATTGCTTAGAGATTTGGAGGCTTGTTCTGAACTGGTAAAGCGTGCTAACACCATGGAATACTTTATTTTTGAAACTGGGTGTAAACTATTAACTAATTAAGAATCTGTCACTGTAAATAGTTTTGAAGAGGAAATTAAACTGTTCCACTGTATGAGCAGTTAAATTTACTTCGATTGTTAAGACTTAGGAATTAAAAAAAGGATGTGTAAGGTAGCTTGCATCAGGGAATTCAGAATCTGTCTCGGGAAGAGGAAAATTAATTATATTACAATGTAAAATGCTATCTGTCAGCATGAAATAAATGCTTTAAGAGTGCAGTGAGGACAGATGTTAATACTGACCAAGGAGAGAAAATGCTTGGAAAAGTCTCTATGGGGGAGGTGACGTTCGAAATACACTCTGAAGAATGAGGAGGATTTTGATAGGTGAGAAATGGAAGGGAAAGGAAATAAAGGAATAGTTTATTTTGAAACCAGGTGTAAAACAGAGTGAAACAGAAAGGCCCACAGCAAAGGCCTGAAGCAGGAGGGGTTCTCAAATTTAGCCCATCCTCGATCATCTGGAAGAGTTAAAAAATACTTTCAAAGACCCTAAATTGGTGGGCACCTGCTCACAGGTGTGTTTAAACAAAGTTCTCTGGTGCTTTCCATGAACAAGCAGGTTGTGAGTCCATGGAGAAAGAAAGACTCCAGGCTTGTGAAGATGTTTTGGGGCTTGTGGACAGAAATGTATACGGAGGAAAATGGAAGGAACAAAGGGCCAAGTCCTGGATAGCTCCTGGCAAATATGTCTTAACGCACTGTGGTGTGAGGTAGATAATGTGTTATCACTGTAATTAAAGTGGTATGTGATTATTACCACACTAACCAACTGCTGTGCATGATGTGCTTCATAAATATGAATTAAGATCATTCCTACAGCAGCAGGGACTCACTGTCTTGCATTTAGTGGTTTTAGGGAGAGAGAGGAAGGCATGGGGTCTAGCTAGCACTGCTTTGATGGGGCCTGGGCCAGGGCAGCGTACTCAGGATGGCTAGTGAACGCTTGGTGGCAGTACCCCTCAAGGTGAGGTCCGCATGCCAGCAACCTCAGCACCAACAAAGAACTTGTTAGAAGTGCCAATTCTGACATACACGCCCTACCTGCTGTGTCAGAATTTCTGAAAAAGGAGTCCTTGAAGCGACCAGGGGATTCTTACACATGCTAACTTTGAGAAGCATTGGTCTCAGGGGCTGAACGAGATGACCAGACCCAGATTACATACATGCATTCAACACAGACGTACACAAATCCCCAAGGAAAGTGGGAAAGGAAGCAAAGAAGTGAGCAGAGAGCATAGTGATAGCCGTGAGAACTGTCCCCTTGGCGGGGCACACGGGATGGCCTTGGGAGCCCAGGCTGCCTGCCCGCACTGGAGGCAGTGCTCCTGCAGGAGAGGGCGGGGAGGCAGACTGGCAGTGGAGACGTGGCTTGATGGGACGGTATGGGCCAGGCTGCGACTGGGATGTCACCCCCAGGGGGAGTGGGAGTGAACGGGCAGCTAGTGAACCCCATTGGGCATGAGGAGATGGGCTGACACCAGGGAAGGTTCTGAGGCCTTCTGCAGGGTCCTTTCTTTGTGGCAGGCTTGTCTTTCCCTCGGCTCCTCAGTACTCTCCTACGCTCTCTCCATGCGTCAGGTGGGAGAATGTCGCCGGACAAGGGGAGCTCCTACTGCGAAGTGTCTAAGCTTCTGTGTTGAAGTCCTATCCACTTTCATCCAGTAACTTTGCATTCTGTGGTTTCACGTGTTTACTAACATTAGGCCTCTTGCTTCATCTCTCCCTTCCTTGGCGTTCCTTTGCCTCACTTCTTCGAGCTTTTCCTAGAGCATCCATCTCTCCACCCACACTAAATCCGGTTTCTCCAGAACTATGGGCTGGTCATTCTTTTTTCGCCCCTATTGTGTCCACATTCCGTCTCTCTCGGTCCCTGTTCATCTCTCTGCTTCCACCCATCATCCTGCTGCATCTACTCACATAAAACAGAGAAAGCAGACGTCCGTCAGGGTCAGACTGTTCTGTAATCTGAAATGACAGGTTGTAAAATCTCACACCAGTCTATCAACTCCCGTAAGCCTCGGCTTCTTCACGTGCACGTCAAATTGTTAAGAGTACTAGCTAACAAGACTGTTTACGGGATTGAGTTAGTGTATTTATTACATGCCATTTTCATGCCACTCTTCAGTTTTCATTTTTCTTTTGTTTTCATTTTTCACTCTGTCATCCCGGCTAGAGCACAGTGGCCTTGTCATAATAGCTCACTGCAACACCAAACTCCTGGCTGGGCTCAAGCAATCCTCCTGCCTCAGCCTCCCAAGTAGCTTGGACTACATGCCCCCACCACAACACAAGGTTAATTCTTCTACTTTTAATACAGATGGGGGTCTCACTCTTACTCAGGCTAGTCTTGAACTCCTGAGCTCAAGTGATTCTCCTTTCTCAGCCTCCCAGAGTGCCAAGATTGCAGGACCGAGCTACCCTGCCTGACCCATTATGCAGTTTTCATGCTTAGTGCTATATGTGGCATGTAGGAAGCATACAGCAAATGTTAGCAATTGTTATTGTCATTACCAGACCTCACGGCTTCTCAACAGATCATTTAACCTTGAAGGAAGGTTTGTGTCCAGTATTTGAGCCAGCAATATTTATAGGTGTTAACGGATACCCTTTCTCTTTTGTGGGTTTTTCCCCAAAATTGCTTTATATCCTCTTAAGGAGTTTTTTGTTTGTTTGTTTGTTTTTCCAGAAAAGGTTTTGTTCATGTCAAAAATCCTCACCTGGATTCTATGGAAGAAGACATTCTTTATCACCTGGATTTAGGAACAAAAACACACGACCTACCAGCAATGTTTGGAGATGTAAAGGTAAAAATATTTCTAATTTTAGGAAAAATGATTGAGTTTTCTCTACTAATTTTTTTCTTAATGTCTCAAAATAAACGTTACAAAGTTTGACTAGAGCAGTGGTTTGTGGGTCATGATCCCTTTGTAACAATGAAAATACATCACAGCATTAGGAAGGTTGAGAACCACTGGACTACAAAAATGTTAGAGGTCTCAGCAGGGACTGAAGCCACACTCATTCTCTGAATGCTCACCTCATAAACAATCATCGCTACCTCAAAAAGACATAAAGGTTCCTGAACTAAATCTAATGCAAACATAATGATTTAGCTATTCTGGTCCTGGGGGATAAATATAATTTTATTAACAATACTGCTGGGTATTCAGAATTCATTATAACAGGTTTAGTCCACTTAACTACTATAGCTGAGTTGAGTAATTCTCATTTTATTAAATCATAAAACAATTCAACAAAATTAACAATACAATATTCTTTCATTTCTTGAAAATAACTATTAGCTGATATTTCATATCATTAAGATTTTCATTGCTCGAAGAAATAGTTCATGAGAAAATTTATGGAATACTGCCAGGAAAATTGTACATCTGTGTCATTTATTTAATCTTATGTTCATTATAAAAACAGTTTGTGTTCATTATTTAAAATTGGGAAAATATTTTAAAAAACACAATTTTAAAAAAAATACCCGGTAGTCTTATCTCCTAAATAGACACCATCAACCGATTTTTTTCTTCCAGTGTTTTTAATGATAGATTTAGAAATAGTTGTAATTCATTCATTTTTTCACTTATCTTTATGTCATTCACAGTCTCTTTGAAACCTATAATTTATGGATATCAAGTGGCTGTGCCACACATTACATAGACGGTTCTTTACTTTTAAGTGAGTTTCCATTATAAACAAGACTTGAAGAAATATTTTGGTACCTAAAGATTTTTTTGCATTTAAGTCAATTTTTAAGAATGTTTGTTTTCTAAAAGGCCTATAGCTGTTTACAGTTATACCAGTGGGAACTATGCAGTTTCCATGGGACTTCTTCCATTTCTCTCATAATTATAAGAATGAAAAGATTTGCTATCTTGCTAAACCTTCACATTAGCTCTTTTGGGAGGATTTAGGAGATGTTAACTTCCTGTGCAAAATATAGAAATGGCCTTCAGAGAGATCCAAAAAGGTTAAAATTACACCCTAAAGTGGTAAAACTGAGACTTGGTACAAGTTCTTCCAAGTCCAGTTTCCAGGGTTCTTGCCCACTGCACTAGCGGGACCTTCTGAGTCACTCACAGTAACTCAGAATAGTCCACCATCATTTGATCCCAGCTCTTTCACTTGCCAGTGGGTGAAGAGGAGGGGGAGGAGAGAGGAGGAGGAGGTTAAAAAGAGGGAGAACAACAGAGAGGAGGAAGGATAGGGGAGGAAGAGGGAGGAAAAGGATGGGAGAAGGGAAAGAAGGAGAGAAGGAGGAAAGGGAGGAAGGGAAAATGAGCGGGAATAAATCCATGACGTTCATTGTCAGGAGGTGCTAAGCCAGCGCCTCTGCCTCCCTTCCTCCTGGGGAGTCAGGCATGAGCCTGTGGGGGATTTTTTGGCAGTGGGAGGACCCACCCTTTCCTCACTCCCTCCCAGCTGCTGCTCCGTGCCTTTGTATGGCCTTCTCCCAAACTTTTGCTTTATCTTCTTTTTTTCTTTTAAAATCAGAATATTTTTAATTGGTATTTTCAACATTGATGAAGTTTATCTGAAACTATTTCCTTAAAAGCCAGGTACAACAACTTACTTGCGTGACCTGTCTTCTGACTGCTGTTTTGGGTGTTCATGTTCCAAGTGTCACAGATCAAGGCCTTCCTTAGTATTCATTAACCAGATCTGGGCTGAATCCAACTGTGAGACTGGACGTTCACATCTCCCAGTGACTTGCCCAGGACCCTTATCTGGGGATGTCTCTCATTAATTAAAAGACTCATCACAATTAATAAACTCAGGCACACAAATAGCTAGTAAGTTAGACAGACTTAGCATATGTATTTAAATCAGAAAGTGGTCTGTTATCTGGTCTCTCCTCTACCATTTATGGAGTGCTTACTGTATACCAGACTGCACGGCATGTGCAGAGGTATTCACACTCAGTCCCCACAGCAACTAAGGGAGTTAGTTATTATCTCCATTTTATAATTGAGGGAATGAGGCTCAAATATACAATAAAATATATCTGTGTTTGTCTGTAACAGGCACAGCAGAGCTGGTAAGTAGTAGCTGAGTAGTTTAGGTTTGTCTGATGAAAAAAGTAATGGCTCTTCCTCTGTTCAGAAAACCACCACATTTTGATACTCCAAGTGTTAGTTTCTGGGAAATCTTTAGGATGGACAGCTTCGTTTTGGAGATGAAAATAAAAGGACTCACTCATCTCTCCCTCTCCTTCTCTCTCTCTCTCTCTCTCATACACACACACTCATACATGCACATCTCATCTCTTTTAGAGTCCCAGGCCTTCACCTCTCCACCTGACTGGAGCACTTACTCTCACATGCTTTCACAACCACAATCCAACCCTATAAACTTATTACCCACCTGGTTGTGGAAACTTCAGTAGATTCTCTTTTGGATAAAAAGACTGCCCTGTTTAGAACCTGTTTTGTCCCACCAGAAAGCAACTCTACTGGTAAAGCCATTTTACTGGAAAGGAGGAAAAAGCATGTGTATGTTGGGTGAGGGAGGTGGGGTTGGGTTGAGGAGCAGGCAATGTAGTTCTAAATGATCTGAACTGGCCATTTAACCTGCAACGAAATTTTTTAGAGGCAGCAGGTAAAGTCTGATTTATTTTCATATATGCTTTTCTCAGACACTTGCCTTCCTCCAGCCACACTCTTATCTTTAAATGAGAATATTCTATGTTCAGTTTCTTGACTCTTTTAAATCCCAGGGTAGCAATTGTGGCTAAGAAGAGAGGCATAATCCATCAGTACCTGAAAACTCAGTCCTGCTTCACACAGATGATAATCATTATCAGTAGCTTTATCTTCAAAGGAAAAGAAAACTCAGGGTGCTAAAGTTGAACCCTTTGACTCCGACAATCATTCTTATTTCCTGAATATCCTTACTATGTTTTTGGAGAGTTTCCTAGCTGCTACTGCAAACTCTCAGTGGCTTAGCACAATGTAAGTTTACTTCTTACTCACATTAAGTGCAAAGTGGATGTTCTTGGTTGATGGATGTCTTTCCTCCAACTCGTTATGCCAGGACCCAGGCTCCTTCCACTTTGTTGCTCTATCACCTTCGAGGAGTGACTTGCTAAGTTTGCCTGTGTGCAAATACTTACCTAGCAGAAGAAAGTAGGTGATATAGAGGATTATCAAAAGATCCTTCTTATAGGATGGGTGATTTCCATGGGTACTCAGCACTTCTGCTCACATTCTAAGTAGCTGGAACTCAGACATATGGCCTTGTCTAATTGGAAAGGAGACTGAGAAGTTAAGTTTAGCTGTATATCCAGAAAGAAAGGAAAACAGTTTAAATAAATGGCGAATCAATCTCTTCCCTACTCACTGGACAGAATCAGACAATTAAAAATATGGAGTAGGATCTTTACAAGTTACCTATTCAAACCCAACACCCAAATATGCCTTCTATTTTGATTTTATTTATTTATTTATTTAGACAGAGTCTCACTGTGTTGCCCTGTATAAAGTTGCCATGGCATCATAACTCACAGCAACTTCAAATTCCTAGGCTCAAGCAACCTTCTTGCCTCAGCCTTCTGAGTAGCTGGGACCACAGATGCCACCACAACACCTGGCTAATTTTTCTATACCCTGTAAGGGAGAGGTCTCACTTCTGCTCTGGTTAGTCTCTAATTTCTGAGATCAAGCAATCCACTCGCCTTAGCCTCTCAGAGTGCTAGGATTACAGGCACCCTCGGATCTCTCTCTGGAAATTTCAAGTAACATGAAAAAATCATTACTTTATGAGATTGTGTGTAATATAGTACATTCTGAAGATGTTTATACTTTTTGTTAACATAGAAAATACATAAAATGCAATAGTAATAGAATACTATAACATGGCAAAGGTAAGTCTTTTAAGAGAGTAGGGATATTTGGAAGTGTGTTTGATCTGGCAGTCATTACACAAAGTCCCTGACATGTTTTTGTAATGCCTCTGACTCCTTCTCAATGGATTTCTAACTTTGCTAAAACCATTTTGCTAAAAGGTCATTTTGTTTGTAACATAAATCACAGTGTCCCTTAAGGTCAATGTTGGTTGGTGGCCTTTAGCCATACTTTACTACTTATTACAGCAGCCGGACTGAAAATTGTGTCGAAAAGTGATGTTTAGTAAGCCTGATTTAGGAGTAAGTCTTCAAGAACTAAGCTGCTTCTGTCCATGCATATCATCTTTATGTCTCCGGAAATATTCAGAAAGTCCTGTTGATTGCAGTAACATCTATAGTTCAAAGAAGAATTCAAGCCACAAGCTATTCTCACATCTGTTTTGATTTTATGGTCAATCTGAATAGTTATAATTTACATTCGCTGGCACCATACAATGAAGTTATTTTCAAACCACTGTATTTTTTTTTTAAAGTTCTTATACTTAGATCTTAAGACAAGTCTTAACTATCTATACCAACAGAGAAGAAAATTCCAGAAATAATAATAATAATAAAACCATGGTCTTACCCTCTTTGCTACCCAGCCTTTATGAGTGACTCCATTACAGTTCCCCACTGGAAAAACTCATAAGAAAGCAGAGAAAAGACAATAATAAGGGTTGAAGAGAAGCAGAGGGCCTGGATAAATGACATCCCATAATTGAGATTGAGTGCAATACAGGGGTTATTGTTAAATGGAAAGAGAATACACCATGTAACCGACCACCCAACAGTTATAGTGAATCATTTGTGAACCATACTGCCTACTCTACTACCTCAGCTAGTATTTCCTTATCAGCAGTTCTCAACTTCTGGGTCACGACCCCTTTTTAACAGTGAAAATACATAGCGGCATTAGGAAGGGTGAGAACCACTGCCTTAGACAGATATTCTCTATCCCTGGGGATAGAGGCAGTCATCCTGATCCACATCAGGTACCACCCACTGCCCTTCCCTCACTAGAGGACTTGAACCAGCTTTATTTGTACTACGTTCTCCAATAGAGACACAATTAACCAAGCTCCAAAACAAAGTTCCAAAACAGGGCCAGGAAATTGCTACATGGTATGAGAAATAATAGTTACTATTTGCAGGACACTGAGAAGGTGCCTGAATTGGTGCAGTGTCCTTTGCCATATGTGATCCCATTTTCACCTTATGAAACCCTCTAAAAGGTGCTGTGATTTTCGTATTTTGGAGATGGTCTGAGGCACATAGATTACATCCTTGACAATAAGCAAGTTACTGAATTGGCAATGAGGCTGGGTTTCCCTAACCTCAAGGGACAGTCCTCCCTCTCCGTTTCGAGGCTTCTTCATGCCATGTGCACCCCACCACTCAGCTCAGAGTCCTGGAGGACTTGGTGCCTTCTCCTGGGCCTGAGTGTCTGTGGTTGCCCCCCCCCCCATCCATGCTGACCCCTAGTACCACTCTGCTCTTCTCTCTGGTCCCCACCTCTCCCATCTCTGGTCCCTGTGGCTCATGTAGTCTAACCAGCTGTTGCACATGCAACCACCAGACAATTTTATGATCACCTTTTATTAGATTTGACATCTTTAACTGCAATGCCTATCCTAATTTCAAAGATGTTAAAATGTGAATAAAATAAAAACACAAGCACTGGAGTTGATGAAATACTGCAGTGAGATTCCAAATGTAAAATAAGAAGGTTTCTTCAGGCAGTGCTCATAGCTCAGTGGATAGGGCACCGGCCACATACACCCAGGCTGGTGGGTTTGAACCCAGCCTGGGCCTGCTAAACAACAATGATGACTGCAACA